GGCATTCAGCTGTTAACTGTAATTTGATTTCAACAGTATTAAGTTTTAAAGAAAAGATAAACTTAAACTTAAACAATTGACCCATCTCTTGAGCAAAACAACATGGTAAAAACTTAACAATAATTTTTACATTGACAATTTTTTCTGTATTGAATGTAAAAGCTAAAAACAAATAATATGCAATAAAATTGTTGTTTCAATAAAAGACAAAAAAGGCTTTGCAATGTGCACATGGGTTTTTTGTCAACAATTCCTTTGAGAGTACCACTACGTTTTGCCATAATTTGGCGATATTAAAATTATTACAATTAAACTTGGCACAAATTGCCATTAATATATGAATACCCGCAAACTAGCTTCTTCGCTCTGCTGATGCCTTGTAAATTATCAGAAAGAGCGAGACTAATGAAAATGTTTAGCAAAGAACGTTTGGCAAAGGCAGTGGTAATGTAAAGAGTAATAAGAAGAGTAATGCAATAAAGCAATAAATAGGCACAATGAGCATATGCTAATTGAACATTTGGTGCTACGGGCAGTGAGCAGTGACGAGGTGCTCTTCCTCTCTTTCTCTCTCCCTGCCATCAGAAGCAATTAAAAATATTCAAAGGCAAACAATGGACCAGTACAGGGATGCTATATTTTGCCGTCACACACACACACTGTTGGGAGATAATTACATGAGACATTATTAGCTGCATTAGGCTGGTATTGTCTTGGTGCACACTTGTAATCACTCACGTTGCCTCCTGTTCCTGCGAAGGGCCAAAGTATGAACCACACTCAAACTCACACATTGTTGCATAAAAGGTTGATGGCGAGGAAAATAAACAGAATGAATATTCATGACCTGCCGCGGCAGCATTAATGGCGCACCGTTTAATGAATTTTGTCTGTGTATTATTAGCTAGTGATACAGATACAGTCTTCTCATTACTAATATTGCAATTATCCACTTAATGATAATGTTCCTGTCGATAGTGTGTGTGTGTGTTTGTGCTGCAGTGTCCACCACACTTTCGAGGCTCGTGTTCAGATTTGAAGTGTGTGTGTGTGTGCTTAGGCAAATGTCGGCCAAGACAATGCACTCACACGCCGAGCCACGGGAACCGTCCGCACAGATGAGAACTTGGTTGCCTCACTGACTAATCATCATGGCTATAATTAGCGCCAAGACATCTCACCGAGGCAATCTGTTTGCCAACAGAGTCTTTTCCATACAGGCCTTTAGTAAGGCAATGTTTATATAAAATTTCGATTACACATCCTGGCGAATGAGTGATGCTCGCTGCCTGCTTGAAGGCAAGTTGGTGAGCCAAGCTGCTGCTGTGGTTAAACACTGCAGACACGGTGCCATACCTCCAGCTGAAGCTGTCAATTACTCGCTTTGCCCCTTGGTACCGAAGGGTGCCCAAGTGCACACTGCAAAGAGAACCTGCAACTGTGCCCTCACACAAGGGCAAGTGCTGCTAAAACTGCTAAGAAGCGCAGTGAAAAGTGTTCTCTTGCCCGCAGAATGAGATAATGCGCCGGCATGTTCGAATGGGCGAGTTCGTCAGTTTGTCAGTTTGCCAGTTAGCAGCAGTTGGCAGTTGGGCCTGCTCTCTTGGTCGAGGCAATTTGTGCGCCTGTCAAGAGCGCCCATTTGTTGGTCGCTATTTATTGTGAGCTGGTTTGTTTGTTTGTTGGCGAGCCATCATTACCAGCTTCATTAAGCTCATCACCAATCCACTCGCATCGCGTAATCATACGCTGGCAGGTTCACAGCTCGGCCTGCTGCTGATGCTGCATGCCACCACTGGTAGTAGTAGTGTAGCCAGACAACGGCTGCTGCTGCTGCTGTTGCTGCTGTGCACCAGACACTGCTTCACTCAGGCATGAAATTAAATTATTGTGAGCTCAGTGAAAACGAAGCTGCAGCGTAAGAAAACATTTGCATATTTTATTAATGCTAAGTGTCATGCCATATTTGCTGTAGTTAATTGCACTTTAAATAATAATCCTAGGGTGCACTGCAAACATTAATTCAGACAATCTGACAGCTTCCTCCTCTTCTTCTTTTGGTCAAACCAGTTTAATAATTAATAATTAGCGAGCAGAAAGAATGGTCTATATGGATTCTATTCAAACCTCACTCGTGTTTCTTTTTGTCAGCAATTAATGAATATCGATGCATAGAGCACAAGTGTAATGGCTGAAGAGGAGAGAAACGGCACACAAGCCAATAATGATGCACGATTGTGGGCAAAAGAGACCACTCATGCTGTAAGAACTCATCCACATCAAACCATTCTCCAGCTCTGGCACGATGATACGCCCGTCAAGCCTGACTAAGCAGATTGTGGCCTCAGTGTCCCAAGGAAGAGAGCAAGCCAAAACGGGCCAACTTGTCAGTCAATCAATCGGTGGGCATTGTTTGTCGCTGGCCAATTAAGGCGGCCATTGTTGGGCTTCTGCTGCCTATTTACATACGCAGATCAGCGAACAAGTGTCCAATTAACCCTGCTGTCAGAGTATGGCACGACTAGACGTGGACCATCTTGCTACACCTTTCTCCCGTTTGATGGACGTATTTATTAGAGCCAATTGGATGCATGGTGCCTTTATCTATTTGCGAGGCTCTTTCCTATATGAAAAAGCTAAGGTTTCCACTCAAAATCGGGTTCACTCTTAAAGAGACGTTGGCTGTGGTTTGAGCGCTGTTGCGATTAATCGAGTCATCGCTGGCACAGCACACCAGCACATCTCCAGCACCACCAAGAGAGCACTGGGCATCTACAGTGCATAATAATGCAAAGTTTGGACTTGTTAGCTTGATTTATGTACTGCCAATTGAGCATATTCTGTCCTTTCATCTGAGCAACATCTTTATTTATAAATGACTGTCAGTACCTGGCTAGTCTACAGCAAAACAGACAAAGCATGACAGGCTTGGGCAATGTGTCGATGGCTAAAGCAGGAGAAAGAGCGGTGGCAAAACGAAGCACAATGTGACCCGTACTTTCGGTTTTCAGTGGGAGCACTGCTGTCAGCTAATCCTGCTAGGCAGCAGCAGCAGTGCAGAGTTGCGACGTGCTGAGGTGAGACTTGTCAATGAAAAGGACTGACTGGACTGCTGTTGGGCAGTTCACGGCGACATGACTGCCAAAGCGGTGGCCACGCGCAGATGCTAAGACCGGACATGACATACCGGCGAAGAGGATAGATTCAACACCGAGGATGGCTGATAAAGAAAACTTATGAATGGACGGACGATGATGATGTTCCATTAGATGATGCTGATGCTCTCCGTGTCAGACAACATTTCTGTTTGCAGTAACTGCAGTGACAGCAGTCATTTCATTTCTGGCATCCTCACATTGCTAACTAAACATACATACACACACAAACCAGCGGCAATAAAGTGCTATTAATGCATCACTATCTGTGGTCGGTTGATGTCCAGCATCACTGCTGTCATGCTGAGCTACTAAGGAGTGGCTCAATTATTTATTTATTTTTTTATTAGCACATATTTGCGTGCAGTGACGAACGCCATATTGCATTTTTGCTGATAAAGAACCAATAGTTTGCAAATACATTTTGACCATCACAGTGTGCTTGTAGTGAAACTCTTAAGTAAGATGCAACAGTTTCGATTCAAAGCATGAAAAGACACAAACTGTTTAGTCTATGCTGTGCCTGTGACATCTCAAACTCAAACTAATGTTCTCAAATTCACCCCAAAAGTATTTTCGTTTCAATGAAAACAGCTGTCTGCTAAAGTATTGCCTGCTAATATAGTGCCACCTGGTCGTATCAATAAATCTAATTCAGCGTTAATTTTATCCTGGCCAATGCAATTAAATTGAATTGACCCTGTCAGTGTGTTAAATTGTTATTAGCCAAAACAGTGTCCGGATGAAGTGGAATGAAATAAAATTTAAATTAGCTAAAATTGACGGTAATTTATTGACAAGAGAAATGCACAGCACATCGCAACGCCTGACAGGCGTGCATTACCAGTGCAATATTAGTAATGGACTCATTAAGATTCATCATTGCCATAATGGTATCCGTTTGGCCCGTAGCTGTTGCTGCATCACACCAGTGGCTCATTCATAAGAACACACTCCAGTGTGAAAGCGGACAGAGCACTGCTCTGAGCCTGAGCGGTGTCATCTGCTAAATGCTGGCAGATGCAGATGACGGTGCAGGGCACTGATGTGATGGCATCCAGTTAATAACTAGCTAGTAAATTCAAACTGTCAAACCGCCGCAGTGCAGTGCCACTGCCGCTGATGCTGCCTCTAATAAATTAGCAAGATCAAGATGAAAAAGTAAACTGGCTATAGTTAACTAGGCAGTTGCGGGCGAGTAGAGCGTGCCTCGCACTTTGCTCTCATCAGCCAGTGGCACTTAATTAGCATCGATTGCTGCCGGCCAATGAGTTGTGTGGTGCAGCTTAGTTAGCAGCTTTTCCTGGCGTACCATCTCCTCTCGGTGACTGCGACGCCGATCAGTTGCTGTACTCTGTCACTTGGAGAGAAGTTTGTTTTGCACACTAACCATAAACTTTCTGTGCGCCTTCAAAGAGGGTTACTTCACGCCTGCTGCTGCTGCGCTGCACCCTAAGTTGTGATTGTCACTTGACAAGACGACGGCCGTCGACTTGGTAATTGAGAGACGAAAAGAGGCAAAGTAATTCACTTTAATCACACTGTCTTATCGCTACATTAATTAGTGAAGCTGCGCAGTGTCCCGCACATCTTTTGCCATTTATTTTACATGTTGGTGCCGATCGGAGCCAGAAAAATCATCTTTTATGATATATAATTAATAATTTATTGCATTTAGCACAGGATATGAGTATCTACAGTGAATGTGACAGTGGTGCCCAGGCGGTAATGGACAAAGATAATGGAACAATATCAGCTGGTGAGAGACTATGTACAAGAGATAAACAACGGTGAAAAGATAGGGAGGGAGGGAGGTTACAAAAACTTGAGAGACTTGAGTGAGTGCTAAGTGGAGTTGGCTGAGGTGACGGGCGTCTCGGGGACCAGACCAGCGCCAATGGCAGACTGGTACCAGAGGTGGTGCATGTTGGCGAACTTGAGCGCAGCATTGGCGGGATTGTTCTCGTGCTCCTGATCACTGGTAGTGCTCTCCTCGTCCTCCTCGAGATCAATCTCCTCCTCGTCGTCACTGTACTCCTTGCTGGCATTGCCACTCTCTCCGTTCGTCACCGACCCTGAGCCTGACTCTTCGTCCTCCTGCTTCTGTCGCTTGTGTTTGGTACGGCGGTTCTGAAACCATACCTTTACTTGCGTCTCACTCAGTCCCAAGTGGTTGGCTAACTGCTTCCGCTCATTGCCCACTACGTAGTGGTTCTTTTCAAATGCCTGCTCTAGCTTTAGCAACTGACCAGGACTGAAGGCAGTGCGAATGCGCTTCGGCTTCCGGAAGGGAGGCAGTAGGAAGGAGCCAAGTGGCGAGTCAAATGGCATGCCTGTGAATGGAGAATGAAAAAAAGGAGAAATGTGTTAGAAGGAAAGTGTACCGAAGTAATCAGAAATCTAAATCTGCCTTTGGAAGGACACTCCACTGCGCTCCGAACGTTTTCATCGGCGTCACCAAAGCAAAACATCTCTGGTCGTTCAGCGCAATCTCTCGCTGAGCTCTGGCGTTAAGCCCCACAATCTAATCTAGACCTCAATTAATTTGATTTGAATTTCATTTCTACAAAAACAATGTTTGGTCTGTGTTGCCGCCAAGCATTAGCACCAGGCAGCGACCGAGGTCTGCTCTGCTGCTGCTGATGCTCTTAGTGAGGATAAGAGTGAGGCGAGAAAGAGAGTGAGGACGAAGGAGGACGATGAAATCTCGATGACAAATACCAACTTGCAATATTTGTCTGCTGATAATTATAATTTATTGCTTTTCTGTCTGTCATAATTCGAGCGCTATCACCAGACTGCACCATAATTTAATTACCAAACTAATTTGTGTCCAACACCAAAACTCAATGGCTCATTGCCTGAAGAGCCTGATAACGGGGCAGGCAGTGAAGTGATAGAGAGGCAAAAGAGAGAAGTGCAGTGTCGACTTACCAGGAAAGCGGCCCGCAAATGGGTTCGCTCGAAGAAACCAAGGATAAAATGCAGCCGCCTGTTGATAGTCGGAAGGCATCGGAGGAAACGGGTGGGCTGCTGAGGATGCGGCCGCCGCCGCTGCTGCCGCTGCCACCATCATCGGATGATTGGGGTGGCCCAGTGGTGCCACTTGAGGCATCTGACCAGCAGAGGACGTCTGCGACATGCTCGGCAGTGCAGGGTGACTGGAGGAGGACAAGACGCCCCCGAGACCTGGTCGACTCAGAAAGGGGCCTGCTTGCATGCCCCCATTTACTAGTGGATTAGCACTGCCTCCATTCGGCGAATGAGTATTCGTCACCAGTGACAGAGGAGAGGGACTTCGCAGTGGAGAGACACTGCCTCCTGGCTGCTGCTGTTGATGCTGAAGTTGCTGCTGAAGCTGATGGTGCGCCTTGTTGGGCGTTGCGCAATGGGAGCCATTGGAAAGCGGGGACACTGACTGGCGGTGTTGCTGCATCATTTGGCTGTGCAGCATTGCGTCGGGGGACCGATGGCCAGCACTGCTCGGACTGCCATTCGACCTGCGGTCTGAGGCAAGGTCTGCCCCCTCGCTGAGGTGCCGTTTGATTGACTTGGCAAGCAGCTCAGTGTCGCTCAGGTTAGTATCGCCATTGCCTTCCGACTCAAAAGCCTTTCGTTTTCCGACAATGGAATCGATGCTGAAGGAAAGCTTCGGCTTGGAAGCCTTCATGGTAGAACGAATAGTGGGAGATGCTGAAATTTGACCGATGTGTGGCACTGAAAGTTGGGGTGCCAAAGGCATCATTGCGAGTGAGCGACGAGTCAGAGCAAGGTGTGTGACTGGATCAGCACTGCAGTTAAGCTGAGGTGTTTGGCAATAAGTATTCGTTGCTGATTAGAATGAGCAAATAAACGATGATTATTTGATGAAGCACTGTGCAAACCAAACTTCACCAGGTCAAAGATGAGATGATAATGAGATCAAAAGGTGCAGCATGAAGGAAACGTAAGTTCCACAAAATGGCAATATATTGGCTGTAGATGCGACGGCGCAGCTTGAGAAAGAGTCACAAGGCACACAAAAATCGGTATGAGATTACTGGTGCTGGCAATGAGGTGTCATCAGCGACGCACTTCAGTGGCATCTGATTAGTGTGGAACAATTAGTCGGTAGTAAGTTTTGATTATTACGACGGTGATTAGCGCAATCGAATTAGCGAACGGCAGAGTAGGGAGAGAGAGAGAGTGAGTGTGTCTGTTGCGAGCTCAAATCAGCTAGTGAGTCTGCGAGTTCAAGAGACAAGAGCAGTCGGGCAGACAAGAGGAGGCAAGTGGAGGCAAATGGCAACTGAGCTAGCCACCGTAACGGAGAAGGCTTTTTGCTGCTGCACTCGATCCACGGCTAATTGCCTCGTTCTCAGCTCCCTTCAAGAACAAGTTTGTTTTCGGCGCACTTCGGCCACTACAGCTGTCAGTGGCAGTGCCTGCTGTGGCTGCTGCTGCTGCCGTTGCTGTTGCTGTCTGCGACCCTGCCAGCAGCAGCAGCCTGTCCCACTGCTGGTTACCCTCATTGCATCGTTTGCCCACGTTCTGCCCCGCCTCCTCTCTCTCAGTGAGCCAGGCAGCTGCCGGTGATTGGGCGATAAGACTCTCAAAGGACGTCCTTCCATTGGCTGCCGCTGCTGTGATGCGCTGTGGTAAGCCATAGAGCACCATCGTCGTCGTGGTTAGAGAGTGCAGTGCATTCATCAATGATTTAATTATGGAACATCCTGAAGATGCTGCAACGTTTGCACAATCATCATCAGCATCATCAGCATCGTCACTTACACCGCCTGCTGACGAGTACTGCTGCCAGCTTCCCAGAAGCTTCTGCTCTGCCTGTAGTGCATTCCTCTTGCCTTCTCTTCGTTCTTCCCTTTCGCTCTGCACAGATGTTCGTTTGCCACCAAACAGGCAAACATTGAGAAACAAATTCAATTAAATATGTAATCCAATTTAATTGTAACACTCCACGCTTGAATAATCGGCCTAATCGCCACTTGTCCAAGGAGGAGTTCGCTTTCTCTGCTCATGCGACATTTTTAGATGATATTTTAAATCAATTAAATCTACATAAGTTGACAATTGGTTAATTTTAAACAGAATTATTATTATGAAAAGCCATATTGGAATTTTCTGTAACTTGATACTTTATTTATAATTTGAGTGATTAGCAAAGCATTTTTAATTGATTATGACAAGAAAAACTCAAACATATTTGATAAGCTGCATTTATGACACTTTACTAAAACGAGTCATAGTATTTTTAAGTCTGAGGCAATCATAATTGTTTGTAAACTGTGACCCATAGATAGTCTTTGGCTGGTCAAACAGTGGTAAGAAACAATTGGCAACTGTCAGAAACTCTCCATTAAATGATTGACGTGCGGTTCAAGCAGGGCAGAAATTAGACAGCTAGCTCTTGGGCAGTTTTTTAGGCACCTTTCTCGCTAATTGTCCTAAGCGTCGATTTATAAGCCAAACAAAGACTAATACCTGTGTCAGTTCACCACTATAATTAGCTGCATCGCGGCAATTGAGCAATATCGCCACTACGACGGCTGTGCCCACTTGACCACTGCCAATGCCAACCGGTTCATTTGCGAATGTGCGCGCTTGGGCAATTAATTAAGTGGTCCTGCAACACTTTCCGCCTTGTATGTTCTGCTTCTAAATGAGCCTATTCAGTCTGCTTTTGGTGCCTGTTTTCGATCACCGTTCTCGCATCGTGTTAGAAGCAGTAGTGAATGGCCTCTCATTCACAACTGCTCACAGCGAGCAATGAGAAATGACGTACACTTGTCTCTACACCAGTCTGCACTTTTTGGGTAATCAAATGCCTGCTCTCTGATCGTTTGTCATAAATCACTGCACGCAGCCAATGTCACTTGGACTCAGTGGATAGCTGTTTCCTCTTGTTCGATAGCTCTTCTCGAGAACTGGCCGCTAGTGACACCTGCTGCTGGGAAGATGCACCACTACTGCACCCTTACTGCGAAGCCGTTTGGTGTTTCTTCGGACGACAATTGATTAAATTGAATGATTGCGGATGATAATGAGACTGCAAATTGATGACTGTAAACGATTGCTTCGTGGCAAGTGTCTAATGCTCTTAATTGGTAAATCGTGTGGCCCAGCAGCACCGGTCTAACGATGTCTCACACTACCCTCCCATCTCGATTTGTCGTGCCACTGTCCGGGTAGGCACACAGCTCTGCCAATTATTTGCTAAGTGCCAGACACTGCTGTGCTCGCTCTCTGTTCTCCAAAGATTAAGACAAACACAGAGAGGGAGAGAGATAATTAATTGCACGACTCACCTAATCTTTATTCATATGCTGCCGGAACGTGCTCAGACACGCACGAATTTCACACACAGACAAACAAACGCAGACACTCAAAAAGCATGAATGTTACCCTCAATGTTCACAGGACATTACCGTGAGCACCATTTGGACATTTAGGTGAGTGTTTTGTTTACTTTGCAGACAATTTACAGATATTAACCACTGCTGAGATATATGTGACAGAAATAAAAAAGCACCGAAAGACCGTACAGTAATGAAAGGCAGCAGAGCATCCGCAGCAACTAGAAATAGTCCCTCAATTATCGCTTATTATGGGCATTTGGATTTTTAGGAAATAGAAACAAAGTCACTACTGAGAAATGTTTTTAAGAGATGCCTCTAATTGCACGTTCGCTTCTGAAGGCCAGCTATCCGCCGCTGTAGTCCACTAATGGTGGCGGTCCTGTTCAATTGCCCTTTATATCGATTATTAATAGCTCATTACAGCTAATCGCGAGTCATTTGCGATTTAATGAGCAAACAATACCAAATTGGCGACTACCAGTGCTCACACCGACAGACTTAATTCTGTGGGCGCCATCGAAGGCGTACACTGCGTACTTCAGCTCACTTTGGAAAGCGCAATAGCACCTGTAATTGCTTTCGCGCCACCGAGTTAGCGCAATCATGCGGTGTGCAGTGTACAAATCGAGAAAACGATCAGGCGAAATTGGCCCAAAGACTGTAATGACCGGCAAATGACTGCTTCTCAGTTTGGGAGCGTCGATGTCTGTCCACTGAAAGAGGAAAGTGCTCCAAAGATGGAATGTTGCCTCAGATAAACAACAGTCGACAATGGCACTGGCTAAGCGCGAACAAATTAGCAAGTCTATAATGATACTAATAATAGTTAAACTGTTGATAATTATCATTATAATGATAGCTTGCCTCCAAAAGGGGCATCACCGTTTGCTATTGATTTATTGTTCACTAATTAATAATCCAATGTGAAGTAGCCTAATTTATTTATGATAAACACGCTACCTGAAGAGGATCAATAAGTCAATTGAACTAAAACCAAGTGAGCTTAAGCTCAAAGAAACACAAGAATGCCAATTCATTAGTGGACAAATGGACAGCGCTGCTGTGCCTTTCTCCTGCTCAAAACAAAACACCTCAGGCACTGGAGAAAGGTGTGCAGCTTAATGAAATAGTGACTTCATGCCTCTTTTAGCTGCTCAATATTAGTGAGTTCGGCAATTTTGATTGACTTTGTCTAAACAAAAATGCTTCAGTTTATTTATATTTGCAATTTTATAACTTAAAGTTAATTTTTAAAAAATATTGTTAAAAAATTGAAATAAAATTCAAACATAAATTACATTGCCCACAGCTCTTAAAACAATGTCCCACACAGCAAAAAGTGTTNATTGAAATAAAATTCAAACATAAATTACATTTCCCACAGCTCTTAAAACAATGTCCCACACAGCAAAAAGTGTTATGTCAGGNTTGAAATAAAATTCAAACATAAGTTACATTGCCCACAGCTCTTAAAACAATGTCCCACACAGCAAAAAGTGTTATGTCAGGAGACTCCAACTACTACTGTCACACAGCTACAAAAACAAGAGTTCAGCTTCATTGAAGTTAATTGAAAGCTTCCTGAATGCTTAATTGTTGGCACTTGCTCATTGAATTCACTCAGCATCAGCGGAAAGTGTCTGTGTGCTAATGGCGTTTTTTCGTGATTGCTAGTGGCCACAAAGTAAAGACAATGTGCTGACAACAATCAGTACATCACAGCCCGACGACGGAGGTTGCTTGGAGCGACCAGGCAATGACATTCTAATCTACTGCGACTTGCCCATCTTTGCTGAAATTGACGTGCACTTGCCTTGTGTTGCCATTGCTTACCGAGTAGTGATAAAGTATTTTGATTTATTTTGACCCATTTACCCCTTTGCCACTACTTGCCATTTTCTGCCACTAACATCATGTCAAGATTATACAAATGGATCTTTGCCTTGTTGAGTGCCCTTCTTTTGGTAGCAATCGTTGCTACACTTTTACTGGTAAAGTCATCAGAAAACACTACTAAAGAAGAGGAAAAAGAAACTGAGATTCAAGAGAAAGTTAAAGCGGAAAACGAGCCTCCTGCTTTTGAAATTCGACACCACAATACCAGCGAGCTGCATTCACTCTTAAGGCATTATGCAGCAAGTTATCCTCACCAAGCACGGGTTTACAGTATTGGTCGATCGGTTAGAGGAGTGGACTTGTTGGTTATTGAAATCAGCGACCATCCAGGCCTGCACAAACCTGGTCAGCCGGAAGTGAAACTAGTCGGCGGCATTCACGGTAATTTGTAGTAGTTTGCTTTCGCTAACATAATGAAATGGTTCCTCAAGGTAATGAAGTCGTGGGTCGCGAGCTTTCGCTTTACCTGATTGACTATCTCCTGCGAAACTACCAAACTCTAGATGGAGTTCACAACTTTGTAAACGGCGTTCGATTGCACATTGCGCCAAGCATCAATCCCGATGGATATGAGGTAGTTTTTAAAATTTTTGACATCCTTTTAAATTAGTTGCCTTTATTGTAGGATGCTGTTGAAGGAGATTGTGACGGGACGAAAGGCCGCGAAAACGCAAACCAAGTCGACTTGAATCGAAGCTTCCCCGACCAGTTTGGTCGTCAAGATTATGACCACGCCGAGCCAGAGACGACCAGTGTCATCCGGTGGACTCAAAGTGAGCCATTCGTGCTGTCAGTAGCACTGCATGGTGGTGCTCTCGTGGTCAACTATCCATTTGACTCAAATGCAATCTCTGCAAATCAGTACTCAATTTCACCAGATGATGAGATTTTTAGATACCTGGCCAAAGTGTACTCAACTGTATGATTCAGTTAAAAACTATTTTTTTAAAGTTAAAAATATTTTTTACCTGCAGAACCATGGGCAAATGAAAACAGGCAAGTGCGGTGATCGATGCACATCTGGTGAAGATGAATTTGCATTTAAAGACGACGGAATCACCAATGGAGCAGCTTGGTACCCGATAAATGGCGGCATGCAAGACTGGAACTACCTTCAAGCTGATTGCTTAGGTTTTACTCATTTGGCAACTAACAGTTACTAACTAATGTATATTTTTCATCTAGAGCTTACTATTGAAACTGGCTGCCATAAGTACCCGTCATCTGCTCAGTTAGCAGGTTACCTCTTTGAAAATTTAAATCCCTTAGTGAAACTGATACAATCAGTTCACATAGGCGTTCGGGGCTTTGTTTTCAGCCCAAAAGGAAAACCAATTGAGAATGCAGTGATTGTCGTGGAAGGTATTGCTAAGAATGTGACCACCCACAAAATGGGCGACTACTGGCGACTGTTGACACCGAATATGCAGTACACCATTTCAGTGCACAAAGCTGGATACCTGTCACAAAGCATCAAAGTCTTCATTGAGCAGCTATACACACTCAACTTTACATTATACTCATCCTCATGAAACATTTCGCCATACCGTTAGCTATCTTTAGCTTTAAGACATTTTGATAGAACTGAGAGTAAACACACCGCCACTAGTATGATGCATTATTTGACTACTGATCTCGAGCTATCACAGTATAGAAAAATCTTAAAAGAAAAATGCAAATGCTTGATTCACTACATCTTTGCAAAATCTGTTTATAAACTATAAAAATAAATATTAAAGAAAAAATAAAACATACTGTGCTCACAAGATAAACATTAGAGAAATGTTTAAAATTGAGTTTGAAGAAGTTTGGGAACATGCTTGTTTAGTTCGAGATAGCAAACACGTGGAACGGAATAATTTTCAATCAGCAACATTGAAGTTTCAATACTATTTACCACAATGACTAGGTGGTGCTTGAATTGATGTTTATGTTGAGTTTGTGATGATTGGTTTTTCGCAGCCGTTGCCGTATTTTGTGTCTGAAGATCTTGATTATTAATATACTCTTCAACTTTCACTGAATTGGCAATCGATCCAAACATAGAAATGTCATCTTTGTGACGACAGTCAATAAAAACAAAGTGGTTTGAGATATTAGCCTGGTTCAGAGCAGCGTTTTCCTCTTGAATTTCAATCGACTTTTCAATCATCCTTATTAAGTCATCTAAATCGATGCGTGGAAGACGGGGGTACATTTTGAGATTCTCCAGCTTCCAGAGGCCCCTTTTAGTGATCGATTGAGGAGTAGCGCGAAAAAATTTAACCGAATTGCGAACGCATCGGTCAATGTCGATTTGAGGTAAATCGCTGAAAATCAAGATACAATCGTTGAAAGTGAACTTGAGTATCCTATCACTCAGTTGATGTAAGATTGCCAGACCAACAAAAAGTGGAAAAGAGTCGTTGCCTGAATAAACAAATGTACGTTATACAAAATGAATTATTGAATTTAGTTAAATCATACCTAAAATTAAAGTGTCCCAAAGTTGAACAATCTGATACAGGGGTAAAATGTGAGTAAACATGGTAAGAAACCAAGAAATGGCATAGAGATCTGGCACAAATCCAAGTTCGGCAAAGTGGTTGCTCATGACCGGATCGTGAAAGGAAGTGATAATCTGAAAAAGTGCCAAGTACTCCTGAATTGAGGGTGAGTTGTCCTTTTGAAAGAATCCGTAAAGATACTTTTTGATAAACAAGTGAAAACAGGCAAACGCTTGAGGTTCATTGTTAAAGTTGAGAATGACAAAAGGGGCTGCCAGCGAGTCGAGACCTTGCCAGTAGACTTCTCCACTTGCCTCATTGTACGCTAGCCAGGCCTTTAAAACGCGAGTCAACTTTTGGTGGCCCTCGGTTGAGGCAAGCAAATCATTGTACTGGTGACACCGAGGAATGTCCACTGCAATTTGTCTGTCAGTTGAGGTGCTGCTGATTTTGTCGATCCTCTCATACAACAGTTTATCAGACCAGCGAACATTGAGCAAGGCGGCCCAGATCTGGGCACGATAGTGCGGACAAATGTCAATTTTAGATTCAGAAATGAGTTGGTTTCGAATGAATGGATATCCTACAAAATAAAATAGGGGCTACAATTTTGCAGTTTTAAAAATGATATAGTTACCGTTGAGTAGTGTTTTAAAGGTCATCAGACGCTCACACTGGTAATCAAAGTCCATTTCACGAATAGGCAACGGCAGCAGCTGAGAGTTGCCCTTTCGAATTAACTCTTCTCTCGTGAAAATGTCGTTGAACAGAACGACAGGCGTGTAAATGTGATTGGAAAGTTTGAGTAGGCGTTCATTGATTGTCTCCACGGGTAAGGTTTTGAAAAACTTGTTCTGAGGCAACTTTACAACTCGATGATTTTCAAAATCTGACAGACTGAGCTTAGAAAATTTACTCTCTAAACAGTTTGAAGAAGCATTTTCTTGATTTGAGCATTCATTTTCTAAAACAACTAACCGGGGTATTAGCAGTATAGGAGGTAGCTTTTGTTTTTCTTTATCAGCATCTTTTGTAGGAAATGTGATGCACCACAGGTAGTAAAAGTCGTGAATGTTCAGGTATCGAGTTATTTCAAAATGTTCTTCATCGGCAATTTTAGTTTGAGAAGCCGAAGTTGACCGAATAAGATGATCAATTGGTGCATTCAGTTCATAGTTAGTGGGCTCAGAAAGTTGTAATATCTGCATCAACTGTTTGACTGAAAATCGCTTTTCTGGTGACGAGTTTAATGTGGCAGAGAAAAAACGAATCCACTTTTCAGAAAGTTCGTCTTTGTTAATTTCGAGCTTGGTAAATATTTCCTGAAAATTGCTACAACTTGCCAGCTCAAATGGATCGGAGGGGAAGCGGTCGCGACTTTTAGGAAACATAAAGTAGAGAATTGTCAATCCAAAAGACCAGACGTCGCTTTTTCGAGTGGGATTGCACATGAGAAGTTGTTCAATTGACAGGAAGCGAGTATCATCTGAAAGTAAATCAAGCAGTGAGTACTAATCTGAGTATTTTTCCAATAAAGACTCTAACCTGGAACAATCAACGATTGACAGAGCTGACCACAGTTTGTGATGAGATTGAATGCCCAGTGGGCCAACTTGAAAGAACTTTGTTGTCCGGCATAGAGAAAAGCATTCGGTGTAATGAGTCCGTGCACTGAGCCGATGACATAGTGTAGATGATGAAGTGCATAGAGACCGCACTTGGTTAGTGATTCGATGTCGCCGAACAGGGGACTTTTGCTTGATATGTCACAGTCGTAATGCTCAAACACTACGGTTATTTTTTCTGTGAGTAAAAAAGATAAGAATCAATGTGTATTGATTGGATTTAAAAAGACAAACCATTTTTGCTTCGAATACAGTCGAGATATGTGGTCAAATAGGGACAAGGTTTTCTGGATGTGTTGTTCGAGGCGACAAACGACTGAAAGTTGCCAATCATCTTGATGGAAGGAGGTGTCAGAGGCAGACCGTTTGTTCCAAAGACATCATTCTGGCTAGTGCTACTTTCAAATAAGTAAGTAGCCAACTTGTAGTGAGCGTTGAGCTTCATTGTTGCTTCCGAAAAAAATGGGGCGATGATCTGTGATGAAATTGAAGTGAAGTGCCTTGCTTTTCAAAAGCAGCTATATTCTGCTGGGGAGCGATGATGATAGTAGCGCCAAATGATCACTTGCTGTTGTGTCATGATTAATGACACTGACGAGGGAGAAAGTTGTCGTAATTCGCCCACTTTGCCCACTCTGTAGATGTTAACTGTGATTGTACAGTTGCTTCCACTCTGTGCATTGTAGTCTGCTGGCGGTCTTTAGGCGCACATGCCAACTTCTGTCCTTTCCTGTTTCAGCTGCAGCAGCTGATTAAACGGCTGAACAGCATCAGGCAATCGGTCCAACAGGTGCAGACGTCTTCAGTGACATGCTAAGCAGCGAGCATGAAGTTCTGGTTGACGGGGCAAAGGTGCCACCTCGACTGGTAAACAAGTCTGCCTGGTTTTGTTTGAAAAGTAACCTGGTCAGCTGATCACTGCTGGGGACAACTGTCACCGTAAGATGTCGCCCTGTTATTCTGGTTTTTTCTACAAAAAAAAATATCAGACAAAAACAGACGATTTGTGCCGAAGAGTCACGCCGGTCGGTCTGGTTCCAGGACACTTGTCACCGTTACCGTGTACCACTTCCGATTCATTCCATAGTTAATTACCACTAGCCTTCTGAAGGATAAATGGTGCCGAGAAATAACGTTGGAGAGCAGCGGTCCAGGAGGATCGGTGGAGTGCAGTCATCTGTCATGACGTGTCTTACCGCCCTTCCACTACTGTTCTTGCTCTTATCGTTCATCTTTGTTCAGTCGACCTTATCACTTGATTTTAAAGGCGGAAACAGCAAGACCTATAGCCAGTGTGAAAAGTGTAAAATTGTGGTGGATTCTTTCAAAGAGGTAAGTGTTGAGCTCCACTTGTTTTCATCTTTTATCAATCTTTCATTTTCAGGGCCTCAAACGGACTGCAAGAGGTAAACACGAGGGAGGTGACGCTCACTGGGAAGAGAAGAAGCTAAGCAATTATGCCAATAGTGAGATTCGCCTTACGGAAATTCAAGAAAACCTCTGTCACGAAGTTTCGCTGGGGAAAGATCAGGTAAAGAAAGCATCAGTTCATTCATAAGTTTGTAAAAAACTCCCTATTTTTTCTGTAGTGCCACAGTTTTGCAGAAGAATTTGAAAGTGCTTTGGAGGAGTGGTTTTTTCAGCATTTGAAAAAGGAACGGGTGGATCAGATTGATGAAGGCAGTTCGTTGTTTGATCACTTGTGCAACGATGTTGCCAGTGCTTGCTGTCCGGAAGGACACTACGGCCCAAGCTGCACTCCCTGTCAAGGATATCCCGAACAGGTCTGCAATGGCCGAGGGTACTGCGCCGGAAATGGAACTCGCGAAGGCAAAGGCAATTGTAAATGCTTTAGAGGCTACGGTGGGAAGCAGTGCGAGAAGTGCGCCAAAAGTTACTTTGATGCTGAGGCCACTGAAAGCAGTGGCGATTCTGCCAACCAAATACCAAAAATCTGTCAACGATGTGACCGCTCATGTGCCTCATCCTGCCACTCTTCGGGACCAAGAGGCTGTCACGTTTGCGGGAAAGGCTACACCTGGGACCAGGAAACCGGATGTATCGACGTGAATGAATGCTCGGAACTGGAGGTCAACCCGTGCACGGAGTCAACTTACTGTTCGAACACCGTTGGCTCGTTCAAGTGTTTGCGTAAGTGTTTAACTGATTTTGTTGGTCATTGTCGGAAAAAGGTAGTTTCGGCTAGGCTTTTTCAACTGCTTTGTAATCATTCCTAGTCGAAATGTGGTGATATTCTGTCCATGTACATATATTTGTTGCTCAACAATAAACCTGTTTTAAAAAACTTTTTATACTTTTTTCTAAAGAATGCAACAAGGCATGCAAAGGATGCTCTGGACCAGGAGATAACATGGTAAGCTTTCTCTTCAATTGAGACCCAACTATTCTTTACATTTTTATCTTTTCTTTTAGTGCCTTAAATGCTCAGAAAACTTTGAGCTGATTGGAGAAAGGTGCAGCAGCAAATTTGAGCCAGACTGGACTCAAATGTGGCCTCTTTACCTTTCTTACCTTTTTCTGCTGGTTACGTCCATAGGCATCTTAAGATCAAGTCCGTCAATTGGTTGCCTCGTCAGCTTGATAACAATCGCTTTTATAGGCATTTTTGAATTTGGGCTGAACCACAATAGCCAAATTGCTTCTTATGTGAAAAAGTTTTATTACAAGCACATTTAGTCATGTTTGAAGTTTTTTAATGAATGTAAATACAAGTTTTTGATGAATGTACAATTTGAAGCGAATTATGTCTTTTACTTGGTCCAGCTCACCTTGGGTATGTCGTAGTGTTCAGATAGATTCTGGTAAAAATGAAAAACGATGAGATTAGGTTCAACAGAAAACTGAAGTCAATACAAACCTCCAGATGATTGTTGAACTCCTCAACACGTTGTTTGTGCGATTTGGTGGCTTTTTCCATCACCCGAGCTAGTTGGCGTTTTTCTTGCTGCGCCAAAAACTTTTTCTGGGCTTCAGTCATCCACGAAGTGCTATCAGTAGCCTTTGACTTGTCATGAGCCTGACTGGTGGAGGTCGTTGCAGTTGTAGAATTGTCCAGTAAGGTCTGCTCCACCAATTCTAGCTGTTTCTTTTCTAGTTTTTCCTTCTTCTTCTTCTTTTTGTTCTTCTTGCTGGCACTGAGTCCATCGTGCTTCAGCTTGAGCGAACTTCGTGATACGTGGTCGTAATCAGACATGTCGGAGATCACGTCAGCCAGCCACCTTCGCCGTCAGATGATTGGCCAGGCTAAACCATAAACAATCACTTTTGCCAAAAGGGATAATTAGGCCATTCACAAACTCAGTACCTTTCAAGCGTACTACTTGAGTACTTTCTGCGCTAGTTGCCATAGTGAAGTTGTAAGTGCAGGCAAATCGTGGTTGCTCTGGCTACCTCCTTGCAAACCGAAACTCCATTGACGATAGTTCAATAGTTTTTCCAAGTTTAGTGTTTCTGTCTTGGTTGGGCCTGTACCGAGTCGAAACATGATCACGTGACTGAGTATGCCATCTCACACGAAGTGCTACTTGATTGGCAATGTACGCAGAGCACTGTTACTCTTAGAGCAGCTGTGAGTGCCTACGGTGGCCTCTGCGCAACGTAGGATGTGCCGTGAAGGCGACTTGTTTGTTTGTGCATCGAGCCTGCATGGACTGGCTAATCTAAGTTCCATCTATACACACCGAATGCTGGTGGCCGTGGTGGAGCTGGCGGTGGTCGTGGTCGCTCTTCTCTTGCGTCCATATTCATTTGAGGCCTGTCCGGTGTCGGTCCGCTGTTTGCAACCGTTGGCCAAGTGAATATAAATGTTCAATAAGCCATTGTGTCGTTCCAGCAGCAGAAGCAGCAGCAGCAGCAACCTTCGCTTCAGTGAATGTCACCATTCCTATATAATTAGAGGTGGCGGAATTTTCTCCCTTTCAAATAACTGACCTACCTCTCTCCTTTCAGAATTTCCACACTTGAAGAGCGCTCCTCTTATCTGTTCAGCAAGAGAGATAATGGATCCTTCCGAGGGTTATCTGAAACCGTGCTCTACAACTACTACTACTGCTAATACGACTAATAATAGCCACGAGCCGTTTGGCTTTACCGCCACAACCAGCAACGCACCAGAGTTCGGCAGCAGCAACAGCAGCAGCAATCATCCCAGTGAAGCAAATATTGCTTTTCCTGCAAACGACGTCTCAAAAATGGCCGACACTGCCCTTGGAACTGCCGCTACTAATGCGGCTGCTACTAATTCCGGTGAAACTGGCGGTCAAAGCCGTGCTGAAAAACCCATCAGCTATGGAACTAGTGGCAAGTGCTCCAATGTTCCGATGTTCAGCTCCAACTCCTTTCAGAATTCGCTAAACTCCACCATACAGAAGGCTATGTATGAAATGTACAACATGTCTGCACTGAACGATTCGGTGGGGGAGAATGGCGAAAGCATGGAAGCACGCAACTCTGTGCTGGAGGCAATCCTTGAAATTGAATTTTGCAATATTCCCCTGCGGCAAGAAGTCCTTGACAGTGTTACTTCTAGGGAAGGCAAAAAATCTCTTAAATATTCGGATTACCTGCAAATAGAAAGTCACCCGACGCTGCACGAACTTGAAAGTGAAAGGCTTGAAGAGCTGAAAGGTGCCTGCTTGTTGCTTCGGAATGATGTCTACAAACATGTAGTCCACAAGACAAATCAACTGGTGGACGCCGTGAAGGTCACAGAAGCAGCTATTCGGAGGCTCATCAAAATGTCCAAGCGACTCTCTGCATTTAACAAGCTCAGTCAGAACGATCAAATATCTTTGCTAAAGGGCAGCATCATTGAGATGATGTGCATCAGGGCGACAACCAACTTCAATAGTGAACACAACTTTTGGTACTTTATCGACGATATCAACCAAGGTCTGACTGCAGTGTCACTGGATGTACTTAAAAATGCAAACTGGATCAACTTTATGTCGCATAAAAACTTTGCAATCAAGTTCAACTCACAGTTCAAAAGCGATCCGATGATTGCTGACTTGGTAAGCGGAGCAAAGATTTTTATGTTTATTCTAAAGGCAATTAACTCTTGTCGCATTTCAGCTTACTGCAATCATTCTCTTTCGTCCGTCTCGCGCCTCGACATCTAATCAAGAATTAATAAGGTAATGTCTGACTTCGGTATTACTACCATGTAATGTAACGTAATTTATTTTTCACAGAGATGAATTTCTGAATTACTGCTATTTGCTCAAACGGTACCTCTACATCAATTCAAACGGTGACAAGTGCAAAGCGAAAAGTTCGTATATTGTGCTAATGCATCGTCTGGAGGAGCTGTACTACCTTGCGGAAGACATTGTTCGCATATACCTTGATATGGACCCTGAGAATGCAGGCCCCCTATTTGTGGAGCTTTTTGATCTGAAATAAGAAAAATGACTGAACCCAGTGAGCATGAAACTGCATTGACAAAAAATACCTCATTACTCCTAACTAGCTAGCAATCATACAACATTTAACGGGGCCTCATTTTTGCACAACATTTTAGTTTCATTTGGAAAACAGCAAACTCCTTCTGCTCTACTACTTTTCCCGGTTTACTACTAACAGTCTGTACTTCATCCTATATTGCAATGTACATTAGCGGCACTATTTGGAATTGAGCCTTAAAACAAAATAAATCACAGGTTACAAAGTTTATTTGACGACACGGACCAGCACAACGGCAATAAATACAGAATACGCAAAGACACAGAGCACACCTGTGGTAACCGTTAGCTCACAGTTGGTCAGACAGAGAATGAAACTAAAGGCGAGGATGGAGAGAAAGAGTGACAGACAGACAAAGGAGAGGTGTTCGTCTTCCAGGGGAATCACCTGACTGCCCAGTTCACTCAGCTCAGAGCCATTTCGCACTGTGGAGGCGAGAATTTGAAGAAACCACGGCAAGCCAAGACAGATGAGAATGTCGAAGATGTTTGAGCCTGATCAGGGTACAATATGATAATCGGTAACTACACTTCTCAAACGATCACTCACCAATAGTATGGCAGATGGCCATGTCTGCGAGACGATACTTGCGCACCAATATGAAACTGGTCAATAGCTCGGGTAGATTAGCGCCGAAAGCCAGGAAAGTCAGGCCAGAAACGACTTCAGAAATGTTGAAAGTTTTGCCGATGATGAAGACCATCCACAGGTTAACATAGGTGATCATGGCGATCCATATACAGCTCATCGCAAAGGTAACCAGAAAGAAGGTTTTACATGGCCTTGGTATTGTCAGACGAATGACCACTAGGAAGGGCATCAATGAGTACCGAATGCAGGTGTTGTCCTCCAACATTGGCCCGTTTATGATGGTTCTCATCGGTGACTGCTGCAGAGAGGAGGGATTCGATTCGATGGAGTTCCTCTTGGCGCGCGAGTCATAACGAGATCTCCGTCTCTGTGAGAGGTATATCTCTCCTGAGCTTTTGTTGAGTTTGAGATTAGCCCAGATGTACAGCGTGAAGATGTAGAGGAGGTAGAGAAAGAGAAAACTAAGTGCTTCCATGCTGTCCACTGAGTTGTCTTTTATGGCCAATATGAAAATGATGGAGATGATCGCAAAGTAGAGGAGATCTCTGATTATGGACAGTTTAGAGTTTGCAGATAGCTTCGACCTGTCAGACGTGAAGAGCATCGCCAGACCGCAGATACCAGGAATCGCAAGAGTGTTGACCAGAGTTGAGCCCACAACGGCTCCAGTGGCAATGCTGCTTTCCGCCACTAGACAGGAATACTTGAGAGTTGGAAAAGAATTAGTATCGAAACAGTTTATATTGTGATCGTTTTATTACCACACTGGTGAAGAACTCGGGCGATGAGGTGCCAAACGCTATTAGAGTTGGAGCTGCGAGGTTCGGAGGTATGCGGAGAACTGAACTAAAGTAGTGCAGTGATTGTACTGTGTAGTTGAACACATGTTTCAATATGAGTGTTTTATATTTTGAATAATGTAAAAAATAGCAAAAACGTACCAAAATAGGAGTCAATGACAACGGCCAATAGCAAGCACGAATACACGAATAGGCAAAGATGAATTATAAAACCACCCGTAATTTGGCCTTCTTCGGTGAAATCCAGCCATTTGGGGAACAAACTAACCAGATTCAACCTTAAATGCTCCCTTTTTTCATCAGGACCATTTTCTGGTTTAGTCACATCAAGGAAGCTTTCAACGGTGGTTTGATTTTTAACAATTTNTAATTTGGCCGTCTTCGGTGAAATCCAGCCATTTGGGGAACAAACTAACCAGATTCAGCCTCATATGCTCCCTTTTTTCATCAGGACCATTTTCTGATTTAGTCACATCAAGGAAGCTTTCAACGGTGGTTTGATTTTTAACAATTTGTTGCACTAAATCTTCAGCACTTAAAAATCGATGAGCTCCATCGTTTGCCAGGGCCACTGTTTGACCTGCGAGGCACAGGCAGAGGACCAGTAAAANTGATTTTTAACAATTTGTTGCACTAAATCTTCAGCACTTAAAAATCGATGAGCTCCATCGTTTGCCAGGGCCACTGTTTGACCTGCGAGGCACAGGCAGAGGACCAGTAAAAAAGGAAACATGATGGTAGTGAAAAGAAAGCATTCGTTGCCATTTAAGATACTTTGCGCGCAACTTTAGTCAAGTTGTGTCTGAGATGATGGTCACAACCGTTGAGCAAAAATTCCATCACATGTTTAGTTAAGCCATTCCAAGCACCCGAAAGCAATCAACAACAGAAGGCAATCAAAATCAATATATGGCCATCGATCAGTGTGAAGCTTTAGCTTTGGCTTCTTGATAACTTGCGCCCACTGAGATAATGTCACTGAGTGTGTGCACCGATTGCCATTCACCACCAGGGCCATGCACACTGTGACGCACTTTCCTCTAGGTAATCTTTCGTTTGTTCTAGAGTGCTACTGCTACTGTCGTGCACTGTGCACGACGCACACTGATAAGTGAAAGACCTTAAGTGGAGAGATTGTCCTTTTTGAGTAACAAAATTTATTATTAAATCAATTAAAAATTGGTGATTCGCGTACGATTCGTCTATGAGTGAGATGCGAATCAATGAAGCACGCGACGAGTACTCCAAGAAAGTGTAGACCACTCGGCAGAAAGAGTTGTCACCGGGCGATGAGAGGAAGAGTATTATTCAGTGTGTGGCAATGTCTCCAAATGGATCAGTTGCGAGAGAAAACATTGCGACACATGAGTTCAGCCATTGCGGCCACCACGCAAAAACACTGCAAACTTGTGTAGCTGCTTTTGTGCACTTGGAATCACAAATGATGATGCTCACCGTCTCAAGGCTGCTTGCCGGGATCAGCGAGGAGTTAAATTGCAGAGACAATTCACAATGATGATGAGAAAGAGGAGGAGGAAAGGGAGGAGGAGACAATACAACAGAGTAGTAAGTAGAGAAATTAATGAAAATAAATAAATAAATAAAATGGCTAAACAAAAAA